CCCCTCAACTTTTGCTCAAGCTCCTCCCACCCTCCCCCTTCTCCATTGTACCATTGACTCTGCCTGTCGAACAGAAGAACAGGATCACACTTACACTAAAGCAGGAAACCCCTCCCCTCTCAAGGGCGGAGGAGGAGGAGGAGGAGGAGGAGGAGGAGGGGGAGGAGGAGGGGGGGGTGTGTGGCAGGCTGGTATCTCTGAGTTAAGGGGCCAGTGCCTCACCTGCACAGCTGTGGGGCAGCCAGACTGCTGAATGCACACCTGTCCTGTGTATATTTACAGGTACACATCTCACTTCCTCTTAGAGCTCACCTACAGCTGCACCTGTGCGCTCCTCACCTGCTGGGAGAGTCGTACGTGTGTGTGTGAGTGTGCATGTGTGAGTGTGCATGTGTGAGTGACTGTGTGTGTATGTGAGTGTGTGCGTGTGTGAGTGTGCGTGCGTGTGTGTGTACGTGTGTGTGTGAGTGACTGAGTGTGTGTCAGTGTGAGTGTGTGTGAGTGCGCGCGTGTGTGAGTGTGCGCGTGTGTATGTGAGTGTGTGCGTGCGTGTGTGTGTACATGTGTGTGTGTGTGTGTGTGTGTGTGACTGTGTGTGACTGTGTGTATGTGAGTGTGTGTCAGTGTGAGTGTGTGTGTGTGAGTGCGCGCATGTGTGTGTGTGCGCGCGCGTGTGTGTGTGAGTGCGCGCATGTGTGTGTGTGTGCGCGCGCGTGTGTGTGTGAGTGCGCGCGTATGTGTGTGTGTGCGTGTGTGTGACTGTGTGTGACTGTGTGTGTATGTGAGTGTGTGTGAGTGCGCGCGTGTGTCAGTGTGTGTGAGTGCGCGTGTGTGTGTGAGTGCGCGCGCGCGTGTGTGTGTGTGAGTGCGCGCGTGTGTGTGCGAGTGTGTGTGCGAGTGTGTGTGCGAGTGTGTGTGCGAGTGTGTGTGTCAGTGTGTGTGTGTGTGTGTGTGAGTGTGTGTCAGTGTGAGTGTGTGAGTGCGCGCATGTGTGTGTGTGTGTGTGTGTGTGTGTGTGTGTACGTGTGTGTGTGCGTGTGTGTATGTGAGTGTGTGCGTGCGCGTGTGTACATGTGTGCTGATGTGAAGCTTGTCGTTACTCGATGAGAGGAAGTCTCCCACTCACACCAAAGTGGGCTCTCCTTACAGCCGTGGCTCCGTCCTGTAGGAAGGTTTCTGACAGACCTCCCTGTAAAGGACTGAAAGTGTTTATAATCTACCCAGCTTCCTTCCCGTTTTGTATAATGGTGTTATTTTTGTATTCAGCAGCCAAAACCGAGAGTTTCGATCTCTCTCTCTCTCTCTCTCTCTCTCGCGCACACACACACACACACACACACACGCACACGCACACGCACACGCACGCACACGCACACACACTCACAGGGCTGTACCCTCGTAAGCCAGTGGCTGTGGGCCGGGCAGGGTGTGAGCAGAGGAAGGGGGTGTGGCCAGTGTGGGCGGGGCTGAGGGGAGGGGTGGGGTTGAGGGCTGATGCTGTTGGCCTCTTGGTAGTTAGTTTGCAGAAGCTGTGATAGTTGTTTTTTAAGCCTTTTTAATAACACCTTTGTTTCTTTTTTATTTGAAAGAATTTAGTCAATAGTAGCTTTTTTCTAATGCTGTTTCACAAAGATTGCACCAGCCACCAAATAAAACTAGTTTAAAAGAAGGGGAAGGGGGTAAAGATATTATTAAACAGACAAAAATCCTAAAAAATTAAAAGGAGATAAAAAAAAAAATGTGACTGTCTTCCATGCATGTAGGCCTATTTAGGTGTCGTAGTGACTGTTCATTTTATTTCCTGATTTTTTAAAAAATTTTTATGAAAGACAACATGTACAAAGAAAAAAAAACAAAATACAATGACCAAAAATGAATGAATTCATTATTCACCTGCACATAGAAGACATTGCTGCGTCACTCGAGCTTGTGACACCGCACATTTTCTCACAGCCACCAGGGGGCAGCACCCTGCTTCCGTGAGGCAAGCCGTCTACTCCTCGCTCAGAAGCAGCAGATACAGAGGAAAAACTGCTGTCTGTGATATAAGAAGCCAAAAATGATATGCTCACTAATGAAAGATGATACTCCATCAGGAAAGATGCTGGGGGTGATGGTAGAGTTTTGGGGGGACTGAGGTGCGGTGTGTGAGTTATCGATGGTTTTTATTTTACCCTTGTTTCGGTCAGTCTTCATATTTTGGTGCATTACGTCTCCTGGTGTTACCTGTGCTTCCACACTGATGGAATGTGTCTGCGGTAGAGAGGACATGTGTCCATGGAAACGGCATGTGGCCGGCATCTCCTGTCTCCATGGAAATTGCATGTGGCCGGCATCTGGACGCAGTCTGGCCGTGAGCATGCTCATTCTGCCCGAGACGAGATCTCCATGGGCCTTCAAACGCAAACACCATCTCATCTCCCAAAACATGCTCTTAAGCAAACATCACAGCAAGGGCTTTTCTCTGTTCAAATTTAACCAAAAAGGGGCATTATGCTTCAGGCGTGTGCGACTGGAGGGTAGAAACCAGCCTCCCCTAATCACATGACATTACATACTGTCCTTCAAAGTGAAGAGGTTTTGCCAGGACCCTCAAATGCCAGGCCGTTTGGATTCATGGGAGTTAATCATATCGGTGTAGAATGATGGGCTAGACCATGCTGCAGTGTAAATACTGTTTACACAATGTACCCTGATGAGCAAAAGTGTAGCCATGGTAACCATGTCCTGTTTACTGCGCTGTCATAAATAGTTGCCGTTACTGACATTTGCAGCAGATGCTGTTTTTACACCAAATTATTTTTGTAACCACTTGTCTGGATGTCACTGTACAGATTGTGGAATGTTTCTTTCTGTTTTTTGTTCTCTTCTGTGGGTTGATGGTTTTGAAGATTTTAATAAGATAGGATTTCCTGGTTGGTTTGGCCATTAGTGCTTTCCTAAACAGGAGTAAGAGTTTGGTTTGTGTGATTATTTTTAAACCTGCTGGTATTTGGGGGTTTGGTTTAAGCCTGATGTGTTCTGCCTCTGGGGCCCCCTGCTGGAGCCGGACCGACTCCTCACAGCGGTCCTGTAACACTGTTTTTACAGCGTCGCACACGCTGGCAGCCAGTGGGCGGGGCTTATGAGTGATCTCAGAACGCCTCAGTGACTGGGTTATGGTTCCGCTCAGCTGATACAGCAGTGCATTCTGGGAATGTAGGCCTCAGGACCCATTCCCTCCCTTTCTGCCTCTGCTGTACCCCTGATCCCACTCTCCAAAGAACTTTATTTTGTTCTTTTTAAAAGCTATCTTTTACCTTTTTACTCCTGCTTTGTGTTTCTGCTGCTGTCAGTCTGATTGGGAAGGTGGCCAGGTGTGCTGGTTTTCGGTTTAACCCGTGACTGTAGGGATTTTTTTTTTTTTTTTTTTTTTTTAAATACCCCCTTCCCTACACCGGGGAATGGTACAGCCCAACAGTCCACTTCCTGTCATGGCACCATGTTGGGGAGGGGATTGCTGTAGCTATGGTGGTGTTCCTGCCAGCGCTGCCTCCAGCACCCAGGCTGGGGGCAGCAGCCTGTGATGAACCCGCAGCACCAAATCAGAGGAAGCAGATCTCTTTTCATTTCCCTGTTTGTTTTCTTTGCTTTGTTAAAATTTGTGTAACCCCTCCTCCGCAGTGTTTACCCTGCCCCAACCCCACCACGTCTCTACCTCTCTCCCCTTCCCCTCCAGCATCCCTTACGTGTATACCATCATTTCCACACTCAAGAGTCTGTATAAACTCCTTTTATACCTCAACTTTAGGAAAAGTGTTCTAGGAAGAGAGTAAAGCGACACACAAGTAACAGCCAATGTAGTGTTCCTTATTAGAAAATGAAACTAATAAAAGGATCTAGTGTGCTTTTATTGTGGGATAGTTCTTTTGGGGTGTTTGCTTCTTTTAATGGGAACAATGATCTTTAGTCACTACATCTAAACTATTGTGACATTTCAAAGATATTAATAAAAAAAAAACACAAAATAAAGGCTCATTGTTTGATGGTGTTTTTATTCCTTGTAAACGCGGTTCCGTTCAGACGGGCTGGAGTGAGCCACTCTGACTCCCCTTCTCCAGGACAGCGAATGATCTTTGACTCGCTCCTTCCCTACCAGCTGATAACGCACAACTAACACACCTCTGCTCAGTGTGTGATGGAGGAGGATATCCTGATGGAGGTGTCTGTCTGGTCATGCTGCAACAAAGCCATTGGAGTAACCCTACTAATATGCTGAAGTTTTATAATATCCATCATGTTTGGGGTCAAATTGACCACAGCAATATAAATCAACTTAAAATATTACAAAATACAACCCCAAAAACCTTGGTCTCATCAATGACCATCATGTTACTTTCCTATAATAAGACAATGACCATTTAAGTCCATGTTGAAAAAACCTTCTTGCCACAACGCTCTCAACCTTACAGAGCACACAGAGGCTGCTGTTTTATGCCACTGTGTGCTGTGGGCAGAATGTATGTGCTGCTTGCAGACCTAATTCCTGCCTTTCACTCGTGTGTTTGGCCTTACTTCAGAAAGGAAAGGGACACTTTTATTTTATTTTTTAAACTTTTTAAAAACTTGGGCTCAGACTGTCCCCAGAAATATAAATTGAGTCAGAACAGTCATACAGACATGTCTTCACAAAGGTCAGAATGTTACCGTTTCATTATTAGAAAAATAATGTTTCGGTCATCGGAGAGCATGCAGTAAGCTGGACTTCTACAGTGCAGCCTGTGTCAGTAATCCCACTGCTCACACCACAGCAAGGGATGGCAGTGTGTCTCATCCGGCTCCTGCCTCACACACGCTCTCCCTGCCTGTGGTGCGAGCCATTCAGAAGCAGCTGAAGTGCTTCTAGTGCTTATTTTAATGTACAAATGTTCCCCCTCCCCCATCTGAGCTTTAAAAATGACCTTCCTGCAGTTCTGGGTCCCACAATACGCCACAGTGTTGAAAATAATTGGAAAATGGGTGGCAGTGTAGCAGAGTGGTAAGGCACAGGGCTCATAACTGAGGTTGCTGGTTCGATTCCCTGCTGAGGCACTGCTGCTGTACCTTTGAGCAAGCTACTTAATGCAGAATGGCATCAGTAAATATCCAGCTGTATAAATGGATAACATAAAAAATGAAAGTCACTCTGGATAACAGCATTAGCTAAATGACAGTAATGTAATGAAAATAAATTCTTTGCTTTTCCCTTGCTGAATATTTAGGACACACCCAGTACTGATGCTATATGGTATTGACAGACTGTACAACTTTCCAGTAATATTATCAACAATAATATACATGCATCTCCTTCCACTTGACTCAGGGTTATGGTGGGTGTGGGGGTATGAGGGGGGTGTGGCAGCATGTTGGGGGTGTGGCTGGGTATGGTGGGTGTGGCAGTATGTTGGGGGTGTGGCTGGGTATGGTGGGTGTGGCTGGGTTATGATGGGTGTGGCAGCATGTTGGGGGTGTGGCTGGGTATGGTGGGTGTGGCTGGGTTATGGTGGGTGTGGCAGCATGTTGGGGGTGTGGCTGGCTCAGTGTTCCAGCAGAGCTCAGTGCTGCTGTAGCTGACAGAGGCTGCATTCGCCTCACTCAGTCTCAGATTTTGCTCTGGCTGCCATCTCCACGACACACTCATGACGCCAAGCTGTCCGTCGCTCCTGCGTCTGTCAGCCGTGCATGCCGGGAGGCGTGTCCTCTGGATGCTCCAGCATCAGCAGTGGAGTGCCATTGGGCCTGTCCTCCGAATCCATCTCCCCATTGGATGATGTCTGGAGAGAGAGTCCAGCCCCGCCCCCCAGACACACAAAATGTGTCAATCAGCAAAATCAACTGAGCTCAGCTGGAGGGAGAAACAGCAAACTTTACACACCCCCTGGAGAGCACTGTTAGGGACCTTGGACACAAACATTAGATTGGGGAGAACAGAGGACACATTTTAATATCTGCACAGAGTGAAAATGGTTCAGGGGTAATTTCAAAAATGGACAAGAATGGCGACACTGTTGGTAGTGGCAAGTGGTGGCCCATCAATGTGTGTCTTTTTTTTAAGTGTGACATTAGCAGAAGAAAGATACATACTCCCATTTATAAACAATAGGAGGCCTACTACTGTTTAAACCTATAGCAGGGAGCCGCGCACACACGCACAGACACTCTCACACACACACACACACACACACACACACACACACACACACACACACTCTCACTTCTGTGCAGAAATGGAATAGGCTGATACAGTGGACTTGGTCACTAGGGGGAGCTGTTGAGATTGTTTATTAATTGGTGAATCTGCACAGCCCTTAGTGATGATGTGGTTAGAATTAGGGATGGGTCAGCTGATCCTGGATCAGCTGTGAGGGACCAGAAATTAAACAGAGCAAGCAGAGCCAATGCCTTGTTCACAGATCAGCAGGAAAGGGCATAACAAAGCAAAAATCACAATGATCACTGACCCAGGATCAGACAAACCAACTCCAACTCAAACCCAAGCGTTTGGCAAAACATGAAGCTGATCCAAGCTCAGTGATTGGAGACTGTATCTGCAGTAGAGTAAAGCAAGCCCCTGTTCTGGAGTGACTCAACTACATGGTTACTTTCATTTAATTTAATTTTTGCTTTAATTTAGTAATATCTGTAATAACTGATTCAGTTATGTTAATAGGAAGTCGGATGGAACAGGAGTCAGAGACATCTCTTCCACTCCAGGAACAGTGAGCTGTAATGAAGGCACAGTGAGGCTTCCCAAAATACCTCAACAGGGACCATTTCCTTTGAACCAATAACAATGTTTTGCTTTGGAGTTAGAGTTAGTAATTGACACAGTTTGCTCCACCCATGATGATGCCTCACCGTCCCAACACTACTAACTGCCACGTTATTATGCAGATAGCCAGGCATCACCAAGCGAAAATCATTCACAGCGCAAGAAGCAAATAGGCAGCGATAATCAAGCACAGAGGGCGAGAGAGAGCAGGCATAGATGAAAAGCAGTTTTATTGATTAACATTGCCATTTTTCTGTATGATTACATGGAACATGCAAAGCAAACATTCATTTAGATGTCAGTAGATCGCGACTGAAATGTTCACTTTTTGAAAGAAATAACTGACAAAAAGTGTATTGATTACATTTCCCTGCTGAAAAGATCGATTAGAGTCAGAGCAAGTGAACTCTTTATTTGATCTGAAAATACCTAACGGGCATGAGTGATGTTTTCTGTGCATTTCACTGAAATACCTGAGCACTGCTGAACATGAGAGATTTTTATGGAGTTCGAGTTGTGAGGAGTGAAAAAGACTTCTGTGGCAGGAGAGAAATTTTTCGCGGAAGATTTCTGTGGCATTAGACATGTGGGGAGTTGGGGGGGACTGGGGGAACACCCCCTCATTCATTTTTTTAGAGAGACATGAAAATGCCTGCATATTACTGCACTCTCCAGAATTTAACAGAGTGCATTTCACAGTAAAATTGTAGTTTGAATTTATGTTTACAGTGGTATTGAGAAATAACTCCCATTGTGGTCAGGACAATAGTTTCAGCTTTTCTTACAACAAAGTACCAAAACTGCATCACCTGCCACAGACACAAAACTTTCTACAAAATCACCTGAAAATGTTTATTGTCAAATGAAATTGAGGTGTTTTGTCAAACGTACTAATAAATATGTACTCCTTAATCTTCGATAGCACTTTTTAGGAACCTTCCCTTGAAGCTTATCTTACACATGGATAGCTGTGTATAAAAGCCTCTCACTCTTTCAAAAAAAAACATTCATATGGCATCATTCATCCTGTCTTAATTAAAAACATGCATTAATACGTACTAGACACACCAGATATGTTCTCTTCCTGCCAGGACTGCTACTAAATGTTGGCCTTACATTTTTGAATAATGGACACTTCAGTGGAACGTGTTGTATTCAGCTGTTTGTGAATTATTTCATAGCTGTATTACAGTTTGTGGAGGTCAATGAACATTTGTTTGAATTTTAGGAGAGCTCTCTGACCTTATCCTTAATAATACATGTTTCTAATGAGTTGCTTCTGTGAGTTACTTCCTTTGATACCCAGGAAGTCTTTAGGTGTCTATATATTGTTTCTGAATCTTGCATTTAACTTGCAAAAGGCAGAATGTCAATACAGATTTTTATTTGAAATATTTCTGAATGATGTGAATAACTGCAATCCTCTTATTTTCTGGAATAAAATAAATTATTTGAATATAATATGAATATGCCTTGTGCAATGATATTAAGATTAAAGTACAAACGAGGTATGAATATAAATGAAAGGCACAGTGTGTCTATGTGTGATTCTTTAGGAGGGGAGGTCTTCGGTGGTCCGGCATGCAGCTGCAGGTGTCTGCTCTGAGTTTGTCTTTGATGACAGAATAACTCGTCTCCTCCAGGAGGAAAGCTGTCTTTTCAGTTTCTGGTACATCTGTAAAATTTTGGTAGAGTCATTTAATTTAGTGGAAACCTTTCTTTCCTGTCTCTGCTGTCCTGCATGTGCAGGGGCGGGGCCTTCCTGCCGCCAGCGCAGCCTGCAGGGCTGCATGCATGCGCATGTATTAACGGTGTGGGAGACTGTTCCAGCGTCATTGCAGAGTACATCAGCGTGCAGCCTTACTGCTTTTGTGTGTGTCCTCATGCGTGGTGTACTTTGGTAATCTGCGATTGTGTGTGTCCTCATGCGTGGTGTAATTTGGTAATCTGCGATTGTGTGTGTCCTCATGTGTGGTGTAATTTGGTAATCTGCGATTGTGTGTGTCCTCATGCGTGGTGTAATTTGGTAATCTGTGATTGTGTATGTTGGAATAGTTCTGTGTATAAGCTGCCTGGGGCTGCCTATTAATGTGTTCAGCATCACAATCGCAGGACGCTTTGGAATAACTCTGAACCATTACAGCTTCCATTTGCCCTGAGAGTGTATCCCTCCATCTGCACCACAGACTGTAAGGCAGGGATGTATACACTCACAAACACCAGCTCAAGCACACACTCAATAACATGCATGCACACACATACACACAAACACACACTCTCACAAATACTCACCACACACACACGTACACACACACTCATAGCCACACACATATACACACAGACACACTCTCATACTCTCACACGCGTACACACACACACACACACACACACCCTCACAAGCACTCATAAACACAATAGGTAAATGATCTAAGACTCAGGTGTGGGGTGGGTGTGGTTATGACTGTCTCGGTAAGAAAGTACCTCATGCTTCAGCGAGTCCAGTCGAGCGTTGAGGGGCGCCCCCTGCTGGTTGGAGGTCCCCCGGCAGCAGCACAGAATGCGCTGGAAGGTAAGGCGCATGTCTTTATCCCGGAAGGAGTAGATGATGGGGTTCATGAAGGAGTTGCACTCTGCCAGAATCAGGCAGTACTTCTCATATTTCAGAACATTGCAGTCATCGCAGTGTAGCCCGTCCAACAGAAGCACCACCAGGCCTGGCGTCCAACAGATCACAAAGGCTCCTGGGAAGAGTGAGGGGTGGGGCAAGGGGGAGAGTGAGAGAGGAGGTGGAGGAGGGGGAGGAGGGGGAATGGGGGGGAGACAGGGGGGAGTGAGGAGTGAGAGAGAGAGGGAGAAGAGGAGGGGAGGAGTGGGTGGAGCGAGGGGCGGGGGAGAGATATGAGTGCATGTGGTAGTGGGGAAATGAGATATGACAGCTAGTGAGCAGTGAAAGATGAAATCAGACCTGAGGTGGAATGGCTGGTTTTTAGAGGTGAGGCTGCAGGAAGTGGAATGGCTGGTTTTGGCAGGCTCAGACAGGTCTTTGTTTGCGTGTCTGAAATACGCACCGACAGTGCGCCCTGATTAAAAATCCCTGAGGCAGAAGCATGCTTCTGAAAGGCAAGGCCCTGTGACAGTGGCACACCATGCTTTTTACAGCGCTGTGATCGTAAAGAGTCATAAATATTTCTGCTGGGTCACAAAAAGCACTATGACCATGTGCGTGGCTTCTGACGCAGACTGAAGACCCACCTCGTCAGACTGTATCTCGGCTCCACCTCAGTCC